AGAACAAGAAAAAAAAAAAAAAAAAAAAAGAACAGTTACATTGGCTTACACATTTTTTTTCCCAAGAACAAACATTCAGAACGGAATTGCAAACACTCCTCTGAAGTCATATTCTATTTGACACATTCACTGACTTTGTGTGAAGTGTTAAAAAGCCTTAGGTCTGCAGTGAGCAAAAAGAATATTCCTGAAGGGAAATATTCCTGAAGCTTTAGAGTGCTCCACGCAAAATAATTTGAGAAAACGATAGCATCCCTGCTCTTATAAACTACTCAGCAGAACTTGTCCTAACCTCCACAGAGTCATAAAAAGGGGTTAATTTGAAATTCTGAAACCTGCTCTAAACATGTAATTCTGCATATCTGGATAACTCCAGTATAACTTTCAGGCAAAGGCAGAAGACCAAACTGGAGGATGGAAGTGAATGTCTAAGGGGTTAGTTCTACCTTCCTTTCTAGTTATTACTAAAAATGTACTTAACAAAACAGCAAACATTTGAACAGCTTAGAAAGACAGAAAATAGAGGAGAATGGTGAGAGCTAAACACAAAGAATAGCCCAGCCAGCGTGGCTCAGTAGTTGAGCATTGATCTACGAACCAGGAGGAAATGGTTGATTCCCAGTCAGGGCACATGCATGAGTAGCAGGCTCCATCCCCAGAGTAGGGCTCGCAGGAGGCGACCGATCATCAGTGATGCTCTCTTATCACTAATGTTTCTATCTCTCCCTTCCTCTCTGAAATCAATAAAAATATATTTAAAAAATAAACACAAAGAATGAAAATAAATTAACTGTAGAAATCAAATAGTTCTACAGTGAATTATTGTGCACACATTCTGAAGAGGACTGCTGCAGAGAACCAATGAGCCCTAGCTGGTTTGGCTCAGTGGATAGAGCACTGGCCTGTGGACTGAGGGGTCCCAGGTTCGATCCAGTCAAGCGCACATTCCCAGGTTGTGGGCTCAAACCCCAGTAGGGGGCGTCCAGAAGGCAGCTGATCAATGATTCTCTCATCATTGATGTTTCTCTCTCTCTCTCTCTTCCTCTCTGAAATCAATAAAAATATATTTAAAAGCTCTTGAGCAAAGTATGTTACTTAATGCTCACACATAGCCAACTAGTCCCCAAAAAGTTGGACCATCAGGCAAATGTACAACATCCAGGACTTTGTGGCAACAACTGCTTGGTACCCTGAGAGATTGACCCTCGTTCAGCCTATTGGATGGGCAGGGCACCCTTTGTACTGGCATGGGCGCATTTCAGTAAGGCAGACCTCCCAACTACTCCAAATAAACTTCAAAGCAGAAGTGCTAATGTTCCCAAATAAGGAAGTTATAGCAAGTAAATGTTTAGACAGATGGCTACTGAAGAACAGTTACTTTTCAAATATTTATGAGGTAGCATTAATACCATTTTCAAATTAGGAAACTGAGGCATACCCAATAAATTCAATAAAAAATAAAAATTTTAAAAAGGAAACTGAGGTATATACAAAATAGTCTATTGTAGAATTTGTCATAAACTACAAAGCAACTCATCTGAAAGGAGTGAGCTGAGAAGGAAGTCGAAGGTTTGATTGAACATTAGATGAATAGACTCAGCAACAAAACAGTTTGGCCTAATCTTTAGGATTTGGCCTCTAGCCAAACCAACCACGGCAGTGGCAGCACACAGAAATAGAACTTGGAGTTCCTAATTTCCAGTCCTGTGTTTTGTTCAGTAAATAACCAAACGAGTTTTATTTCCAACTTTTCTTATCAAGGAATGGAAAAGCTTATGGGTCAAACCTTAAAGAGGATAAGCTTTCATTTTTATAAATGAGTAACAAATTTCTGTACCAGGTATTCTCCACTTAGTAACATCCAAAGGTTTAACTCTATTACTTCAAAATGGAGGATAAGCCCTAGCCGGTTTGGCTCAGTGGATAGAGCATTGGCCTTCGGACTGAAGGGTCCCAGGTTCAATTCCAGCCAAGGGCATGTACCTTGGTTGCGGGCACATACCCAGTGGGGAGTGTGCAGGAGGCAGCTGATCGATGTTTCTCTCTCTCATGGATGTTTCTAACTCTCTATCCCTCTCCCTTCATCTCTGTAAAAAATCAATAAAATATATTTTTTTAAAAATGGAGGATAAATCACAAGAGTCTGAGATCCTCCTCCATTAAATTCTTGACAGAAGAAGCACAAAGGTAATCTTCAGAGCCCCTTTCAGCTTCTGTGACTATTTAACTTAACTCCTACCGAGTTAGTGGCAGCTTTTCCTAACTAGAGTCTTGAGCTGAAGAACAGTGTAAAGTGAACATGACGTAAGCAACTCAACCTACAGTATGAATCGAGTGTATTGAAGCTTCATGTAGGATTAAGTAGTTCAAATGTTCGATTAAGAACTGAAATCAATGTGATCATATCTTTGCAATCCAGTTCTAAGACTTTCTCTGAGAATAGCTGGGGGGTAGAAGTAATTGTTAAGGCTGTGGAACTGTCACTCTCACAACTTTTTAGAACATTTACTTTATAAAGAGGAGGAGCAGGGATTCAGTGTCTTGCTATTAAGGCCAAAGACTTAGAAATGATTTGGCCATCTCTAACTGGCAATGAGATTCTTGAAAAGGTAACCTCAAAGAGGAAGTCACTGCCCAGTCACTCCCCTACTTCAGAATCTACCTAAGCATAATTTTTATTTTATTTTATACTTTTTATTGATTTTTTTTACACAGAGGAAGGGAGAGGGATAGAGAGTCAGAAACATCAATGAGAAACATCGATCAGCGGCCTCCTGCACACTCCCCAACTGGGGATGTGCCCGCAACCAAGGTACATGCCCCTGACCGGAATCGAACCCGGGACCCTTCAGTCCGCAGGCCGATGCTCTATCCACTGAGCCAAACCGGCTAGGGCCTAGGCATAATTTTAACTGGCATTTTAGTAAAAGAATTATTAAAATATCCCTGAGCTATAAACCTCCCTGCATTTAGATTTCCAGCAGTAGGAAACGAGTTTAATCCGCAATTCCAAAAGAGAACTCCACATTAAACTCCAACCTTTAAGAAGCTACTACAGCTGTAATGTCAGGCTGAGTTGTTGTTTTTCAGAGTAGGTGTCCCCTCTCTCCAAAACTCCATGTATGTGCAGCAGCTCCAAACTGCAAATTCTAAAATAGTAACATCGGATCTACAGAAGAGATGTTCAATGACTTGACATAATCAAAATAGAGGTTCCCCAGTAACAATGCACCGGCGGCAAAACACTCCCCCGTTTAGTTGGTGGGAGAAAAGTTCGAGTTGTTTTTCAGAGTAGGTGTCCCCTCTCTCCAAAACTCCATGTATGTGCAGCAGCTCCAAACTGCAAATTCTAAAATAGTAACATCGGATCTACAGAAGAGATGTTCAATGACTTGACATAATCAAAATAGAGGTTCCCCAGTAACAATGCACCGGCGGCAAAACACTCCCCCGTTTAGTTGGTGGGAGAAAAGTTCTTTAAACTGGAAAGAATTTGTAAGTCTTATAAAGATTACATGGGAAATCGCGAGTGTTTTTTTTTTCTCTAGGAGGGACAGACATTTCTCCAAAAGTTTTGGTAGAAGTGATGGCTCAGATTTCAAAATGCAAACAGATGTTCCTGAAGCCTCCGAGAGGGGCCACTCCCCTTTTATTTCCATAGTCCTGGCGACTCCTAAGTTATTTTGTGTCCCAACACCCATGCCCCTTTGATGTAAACTTTCACGAAAAGTGGGAAGTTATAGCAAGTTTTGGAGTTTCCCAAAGTGGCTGGCGCCGTACGAGGTCAGGTGGTTCCGAGAATGGGCGCTGGTCGGGACAAACCTCGAGGACGAGAGCGCCCAGACTTCCACG